AATATTAAGGTTCTATACCTTCCAGTTCTTCAGAAGAAGTTGTTCTAATCATTAGACATATCTGACTCATGTGACCTTGAAAGTAGGTCAAGGTCATTTTCATTCGCAAACCTTGTTGGGCTCTTTCCCAGGAAATACCCAACCAAATATTAAGGTTCTATACCTTCCAGTTCTTCAGAAGAAGTTGTTCTAAGCATTAGACATATCTTACTCATGTGACCTTGAAAGTAGGTCAAGGTCATTTTCATTCGCAAACTTTGTTGGGGTCTATCCCAGGAAGCCACCAGCCAAATATAAAGATTCTATACCTTCCAGTTCTTCAGAAGAAGTCGTTTGAAGTGTTTAATACATTTGACCCCTGTGACCTTGAAAGAAGGTCAAGGTCATTTTCATCCTCAAACTTTGTCGGGTTTTATCCCAGGAAGCCATCAATCAAATATAAAGATTCTATACCGTTCAGTTCTTCAGAAGAAGTCGTTTGAAGCATTTGACAAATTTGACACCTGTGACCTTGAAAGTAAGTCAAACTAATTTTCATTCTCAAACTTTGTTGGGCTTTAACCCAGGTAGCCACCAGCCAAATATAAAGATTCTATACCTTTCAGTTCTTCAGAAATAGTCGTTTGAAGTGTTTGACACATTTGACTCCTGTGATCTTGAAAATAGGTCAAGGTCATTTTCATTCTCAAACTTTGTTGGGCTCCATACCAGAAAGCCATCAGCCAAATATGAAGATTCTATACCTTTCAATTCTTCAGAACAAGTCGTTTGAAGTTTTTGACATATTTGACCCCTGTGACCTTGAAAGTAGGTCAAGGTCATTTTAGTTCTCAAACTTTGTCGGGCTCCTATCAACAAAGCTTTCAGCCAAATATCATGACTCTAGGCCTGTCCGTTCTTCAGAAGAAGTTGTTTAAAGGAAAAATGACGGACGAGGACGGACGGACGCCGCACCATGACATAAGCTCACTTGCCCTTTGGGCAGGTGAGCTAATAACAGGAGAACAAAATTAAAACAGACCAGATGATTGAATTACACTAAACTCCATGGCCGGCGGTATTCCTGAAACTATTCTCATGCTCAAGCATAGATTATACACTCAGAATACCTTTCTTGAATTGCTTAAATTTGTGTGACATGGTCAAAACTTCCAGTGTAAACATTGCAAACCTTATTTGGCTTGATGTCTCCTAAATATTTCTCCAAATTATTGACAAAATGTCAAAAATGAATCACAAAAGCTGGACTTAAGCACAAAATCTGAGTTTGAGCACAGAACCTAAGTTTGAGTACGAGAACAGTGTCATGAATACCAAGCCGGACCTGCTACATATATGTATTTGTTATCTACCTTTGCCTCCTGCAGGTGCCATGGCTTTCTCTTTTAGGGAGGTTCTCTTTTGAACCCTCCGAGAAAATGCTGTGCGTGTATTTTGGGAACATTGTTGTACTCTTACAAATGTACAGGACTTTTGAGCTGCACGAAGTGTGTGCTGTTTACTTATTGATCCAAGGAAAGCTGTGATAGGTATTCGACACAACTGAGTCGACCACATGGTGCTTCACTGTTCACCTGAAATAAAGCGTTCACAGTAGTTACAAATATTTTGATAGAATAAAAATGAAAGTATCACTAAAATGTATGGTAACTGATATCTTACAGTGTCAAAATGACTCAAACTAGAGCAACGTAGGGGGGTATTATCAACCCCCGGTTCTATTCATCTCGTTTTTCAGACAATCAGTGTTTTTGATAGGTACACTTACCTTTTTCGGAATTCTTCAGACAACAATTTTAAACAAATTTCCTGAACTTTTTTTTTCCAAAGAGAAGAATCGATCCCGTTTTTAGACCTCCCTTATGGGCACCGATAAGATATGTATGACACTTCGAATTTTTAAAACATTTTTATCTGAAATATTTGCCACATTATGGTGTAATCAAACTTCACTCAGGAAGCGTCTGCAACGTTTGTCAGCGTATTATCTACATCCGGGGCATTGTTAATGTCGGAAATAGGGTTGTCGATAATTGCCGCAATTTGAGTATCAGAGGTAGTTATCGACAGTAAGTGAAAAAAATACCAATTAATTTTTGTTTTATCCATTAAAAACATATTTTTATGAATGAATTGTACTTAAAAGTTGTGTTCATGATTTCAATATATTGTAAATTGTGTTAGGGGAGAACCCCCGACAACAATAAGTCTATCCAGTTAACAGACATAATTTTACAAGCTTAAATAAAATACTAAAAAAATCAAAAGTTCTCAATAAAATCCATGTAGATACTAGATAAGTTTTGTAAATATGCTCAATATAAACTGCAATTATTTACAAATTAAGAAAAATATCAATATTGGTTGATGAAAATTGTCCTGTTAGTGTTCGGCAGGAGGTATATATCTAATTATCTTGTGAACATTGAGAAATTTAAAAACAATTCCACAATCAGTGATTTTACTGCCAAATACATGCTGCTTCCCCTAGCTAAAAAGAACATTATTTTCCCAAAATTACCCAAAACTGAGGAATATATTCCCAATTTTAATACGAATAATGCTGTATTTTCCCTAATTCATAAAGGAACAGGCTGTTGAAAAATTTAGATAACAAAAACACTGACAATGATTATTTTAAGAAGATTAAATTATGTTTTCTTGAATAAAATTTCTGATCTCTATCATATTAGGTTAAAATACCTCATAATTCAAAATTTCTGGGCTGTTGGAATGCATCACTGGGGATCAAAATAATTGGAAATTGGGGTAGGACAACATATTGAAAGAGAACCAGAAATTATGTTTGATTAAAATGATGTGACGGTGACTGTTTTGTGCATGGGAGCACCTTTGTTTACATATGACTTGACATGTTTATACTTTTCTAAGCATTTGGACACACGTCAGAACAAATTAATGTATTATGAGAGATTAGTAATAGAAATAATTAACATTCTAATTTAGCTGTCGATAACTACCCCTGTCATTAACGCCACCAAAACAATGATTTATCCTGCGATTCGTCACATGTACGCTTATTGCAGATGATGTCATCAGAAATAAAGTATATTTCCTGACTTCTGGAAATGCCATCATATAATAACCTACGCAAAACGGTACACTGGAAAAACAAGTCTGAAGCACAGTCCGATCAAATACCTGATTTCAGTACATTCGAAATTTGATAACCTATGACAGAGGATATATGTCTGGGCAATGTGATTTACAGTGAACAAAGTGCCATTATTCAACAGGTCCAGTACACTCTGCCGATTGAGCTATATAGCTATAAAGACCTATATAGCTATATACACCTATAAATTATAGCTGTATTGAGCTATATTTTCTCAGATTTCAAATTTCATTAAATTAAAGCAAAGTCGCATAAAACAATAAGGTTTATGGTAATGTTGACTACAAAGAGCATACAGTTAGATGTTTATTTTCATTTTTCATAAATGTAAAATTTCCGATTTTTTTACACCATTATTTTTTTAAAAGAATACTTGTATTTAATGTCTTTTGTTATTAACTTAATGATACAATCTTCTTTTAAAAGCGACTTTGTTTCGTTTTCTTTAAAAAAAAGAAAATCACTTGAAAATAGGTCAAAAGACCTATTTCAGATAGGTCAATAGAGCTATTATAGGTCTTTACAGCTATATAGCTCAATCGGCAGAGTGTACTGGACCTGTTCAATTCAGTAATACAGTGTGGCACGAGACAGGATTTTAGTTTGAATACCGGTCGCAGTTTGAAAGATTCCGGGTTCGAATCCTGGTCTGGCCATGCATTTTTTCACTCTCAGTACATTGGTGCATGTACCTTGTTCTAGGTATGTACTATATATGTAGACATACTTGCATTTGGTCAAATTGGTGTACACTTGACTAGCAGGGGATACCAGAGCCCAGGGATTATAAATATAGTGATTTCTTCGTGACTGAAGACTTAGAAAAAGGAGGAAAATGAATGTAGTGGAACTGGACAGGGTCGTTCGTCGGTGATCAGATTTACGCATGATGCAATTCAGGCTAGTTAATGATACTGTACAGTAGGGCTACTATGTTTGATCATATGGACGGATATACTAAATATTTAAAATGTTAAGACTGCAAAAGAACAGAATCATCTATTAAATCTAATTGAATAAGTAGTCCGGTAACGCTGTACTTACCTGCTAGCCTATAAGTTTCCTTTTTGCGTTTCAATGTTGGTCTGGAGGATTTCGGGAAGGTCTAAAACGACTGGAAGTGTCTATATCACTATAATAAAGGACCCAACGAACGGATTTGGATAATATTTCCGGAAGTTTTGGTCCGTGGGCTACATTCGCGTATTCCACGATAAACGAACGCACTTGGACCGAACCCTAGGCAGAGCTAAACACGCACAGTTTCAGAGAATGAATGACAATATATCAAGAATAATATGTCCTTCTTATACTTACGCGTCCACTAAATCAGAGACGTAACGTTATAAGTTAAAATTAAAATCGACAAGTGGCTTGACCATATTTTATAAAGAAATAACACAAACTACTAGTAATAGTCAGCATTTAAGTTTCTGTCAGGCACGTCTAGGACCCCTCAATCTACACATGATGAAGATCTGCGCCTGTCGTTTTTCTTTCAGATTCAACTGGTTTAACCGGATGTTTATGTATTGTATCAGAGACGTATACGTATATGTTCTGTTTCACTGTGTCTTTATAAAGGAGCGGATCGCTCCGAAAATTTGACAACCTAAACTTGTCCACACTGTTGGAATTACTTCTTTGTCCCACTTACATTATTATAAGATATATACGTCTCTGGTTGTATCCGCCGAACCTGCCCCCCAAAATCGTATAATTTACATATTACAGTAAAAATAACTTGACTTCAATGCTAGGCTTTTATTTATAATTCATGTGAAACTGTCAGTGTGTACGTGTTACACCACGGAATTGAAAAAAAGAAGCGAGGACAAGATTTTGTTTCTTCATCCTAAATATCGAGTAACTGTCTCCCTTTTCGTAATGTTTAAAAGATTTCCTTGCTTTTTTATTACTGTGAATGTTCCGTTTAGGTTTCTCCACTTTGTCATAGTGTTGGTATTGTAAATATTGTAATTACAGTAAATAGTTCACTTTTGGAGTCGATGAGTCAAAGACTCAATGCTATAAAGAATTGAACTCCCAACTCGTTGAATAAAACCTACTAGGAGTGGGTAAACATTTTAAATACCCTTCAAAATGTAGGATATTGAACTGTATATATATAGTAATGGCGATTTAGTGGGGTGACTGGAAAGTTATGACACTTTCATATGACAACATACCTTTATTGATGTGTCATTTAATTATTCATCAAACGTGCCATTCCTGTCCGCAAAATGCGCGATTCCAAGTTCTAAAACAATGTCAAACAATGTGTTGTTGTTCAGTGGACACGTGAAAGAAGGGCATACTATTCTTGATTTATTATGTTAACTTTGCTTATAGTCACACGTGTGGTGTAAGGGAGGTAACTCTTATACGATAACAATTAAGATATATATCATTTCAGAAAATTTAAAGTATTAAATAATAATGTTTAAAATAAATATCATATAGAAAGATTTGTTTAGTGTGTGGGTTTTTTTCTTCCAGTGTACCAACTTAATTACCCTGGTTCCATGTCCACTTTTATCAAAGAGTAACAGTAAACTAACTTCTGGCCAATTTTTTAAGGCCTTTTGGGCCTCTTGTGTTTTAGGTGACCAAGCACACGGATAGTGTAGTTGGTTTGAAAGAAATGTTTTTTTTATGTGATAATGTTAAATCTAACAGATAACGTGTTGAATGTTCACCACATCTGTCGGCTGTCAGACTTGTTCGTAATACGATCGCTGAAACGTTGTCCAAGTGGGGTAGGCAATGGGTTCCGTCCCCAACCCGGGACATACCAAAGCCCTTAAAAATGTTAGTAGTTAATCTCTGCTTAACGTTCAGCGTTTTGGGTTATCGCAACGATAGAACCCAAGACCAGCTTTTGAGATTTCGTTGTCCGGCTTTGACAACTTTTGTTTGATATTTGATTCATGTAACGTTAACATACCCCAAACCTCAATTATTTTTGCTTGATGCCAGAAAAAACCACGCGTTTTATTTATTTTAAGTTTTATGATCTTGTAAATTTCAGATTGATGGTTAATGGGGTAGCGGTATTTTTTATGCTATATTTCCTATATGTATACATTGTTACATTATATTGTTATACCAGTATAACAAGGAACAATAAATACATACTCTGATATATAATATATGGACAACAATGTCACCTGACCCCCAAATTTGGTCAACAAAGTGTCGTTTTTGACTGAAAAATACATTTGGTATACTGATTTTCCATGGAAACAGACTTCAATAAGATAACTCAAGGTCATATTGTGAATGTCAAGGTCAACTGTGATGGTTACAAACACAAACATATGCCATTTTGATATTCACTTATAATCTCAAAGTTTTACTCATTAAAGTCTAGTTGACCTTTCTTTCTTACATCAATCTTTTTTTTTTTATAAACAATGTACAGTGTAATAGTTCAAGAACCAATTATCGAAACTGAATTACAAGTAATCTTAAAAATCACACAAAAATGTCTCGGATTACCTATATAATTTTGACATATGCACTAATTTAGCTTTATTTTTTTGCTATATACCACTCAAATTCATATATTGGTAATGTCAAGTTCTAATCCTAGAATTGCTAGATGACTGAATCTATTTTGCGAGCATGTTGTACAGTCAATACATATCGGTCAATAACCCCATCTTCACGATATAGCTCAACATGGAAGTCTGATTTTACGACAACCTCATGCATTCTTGCATCCCTTTTGTAACAGATATAATAAGCTCTCGGAGAACCTGTGGTGTAGCTGTCTGTGTCATCAAGGCTGGCTCACAGTTGTCATCCGATCCATGACCAGCGGGAGGAGGGATATCTGGGCAACCGATGTAACAGCGAAGCTAAATGGCTGTTTGTTAGTTTGATCTCTTGATATGGTGACGGATGGTGTCTTGACAGGGTGGCAAATATGTATTCCGTTTCTGTGATTTGCAGAACATGTTACCACCTATAAATCAAGAAATTTTCATCCAATTTCCAAATATGTCAACCTCAATATGCTTCTCTAAACAAAGATGAACACAAAAAAATATTAAACAAACTATATTTGATTTTGGGTTTTAGAAGGGTTTCCTCCCAAAGGTTTAGGGTGTACCTACCGAAACAAAAGTCAAACAGATATTGCCAGAGCCGGACCACCAACTCCTTAACTGAAGGCCATTTGCCTTGTTGGCTACCACTTTGACACTGTGTAACGGTATAATGTGACCGGATGCAATAGTGTGCTGGGTGCTTTCGGCATGTCATTTCAGTAAGGTAGCACTCTCAAGTCGGCATCAGATCCGCGCTAGGAGGCAAAAACATTAACATACCCTACCTTCAGCACGTCCTTAAATTACCTCAGCTGCAGTAATAGGACGAAAATAAAACCAAACCACTGCCAGTACTTTTTATAGATTATTTTTCTTCCGTGCAGAATCGACTACAGCACTTACGTGCTCTAAGCGGCCATGGCGGGGAAGGTACTGTATCTAGAAACAGTACCTATTTCTCTTGTTGGCACGACTGTAGCAATGATATATGCATTTCGTGTTCATACTAAAATCCACGATGTGTAGAATTACGCCGCTCCAAACGTGTAAAACAATCATTAACATGTGCTCATCTATTCTCATCGTTACCACATTCTGCACATGCTAATAGCTGAACAAAATGACTTCGTTTTGTCGTTGTGTTGTACCAAGTTTTGCCATACACCATACCGTTTTTGTCGTGTTTAAAGGGGTAGCTGTGGGATATTATCAGTGATAGATATCACCATACTGTGCTTTCGCCGTTAATGGCGCACGCAACATTGACACATTTGTGTTTGCGACTAACGATCTCTGACTGTACAGAGACAAAGTGCACACACTTCAGAGGAATCAGGACTCAGTAAATGTCAAATTGCTTTGCTTGTGGAAATGCTTTACATCCGATTGATGTCGTCTGCGCTCCGGATCGATCGCTATATGTCAATGTAGCGTGACACAGACGTGTATCATTTGCTAAAAATGTTTACCTCAGTATCCGTTCTATCAGAAACCGTTTCATATTTCTACAATTAAAAGCGTCTGTGTAATTCCTAGCACTTAAAGATCAATAAAGGCTATACTTTTTCCGCCAAAATCACCAGCGATTTCCTGTTTTTCCTGCTTTAGTCTTGCTTTTATCCATTTAGTCGATGTCATTAAAGAAGATCACAGTGGTGTCGACGCGTGATCGGAGTGTAAAGCTGATGTAGCGGCAAGATCTCCGGCTTGACAACCTTCAAACACTGTTACTAGTCCAGGAACACTCGGACACACATTTCCCCGATATAACTTTCTGTATACATGTGCCAGATTCCATTTAGGATGGAAGGTTTGATATACTACATTGACATTTGATATACAATACGGAAGTTTCCTTTTTGACGTTTTGATATGCCACATGAACGGTTTTTTTTGACGTTTTGATATGCTACATGGACTTTTTTTGACGTTTTGATATGCCCATGGACGGTTTTATTAACGTTTTGATATGCCACATGGACGGTTTATTTTTGACGTTTTGATATGCCACATGGATGGGTTTTTTTTTGACGTTTTGATATGCCCATGGGTGTTGTTTTTTTTCGACATTTTGATATGCCACATGGACGAGTTTTGGTTTGACGTTTTGATAAGCCACATGGACGATTTCTTTTGACGTTTTGATATGCCACATGGACGGTTTTATTGACGTTTCGATATGCCACATGGACGTGTTTTTTTTGACGTTTCAAAATGCCACATGGACGGTTCCTTTTTGACGTTTCAAAATGCTACATGGATGTTTTTTTTTGACGTTTTGATATGCCACATGGAAGGTCTTTTTGACGTTTTGATATGCTACATGGACGTTTTATTTTGACGTTTTGATATGCCCATGGACGGTTTTATTAACGTTTTGATATGCCACATCGACGGTTTTATTGACGTTTTGATATGCCACATGGACGGTTTTATTGACCTTTTGATATGCCACATGGAAGGTCTTTTTGACGTTTTGATATGCTACATGGACGTTTTTTTTGACGTTTTGATATGCCACATGGACGGTTTTATTGACCTTTTGATTTGCCACATGTAAGGTCTTTTTGACGTTTTGATATGCTACATGGACGTT